GACGCCTCGCTGCGCGTGCGGCACGCCTCTGCGGGGCACATTGTGGTGGAGCACTCGCCGAGGCCGCAGCTGGAGGTGTGGGCGCCGCCCGCCTCGCCTCCCTCGCCGCCGCCAGCTCCGCAGCAGCAGCAGCAGCAGCAGCAGCAGCCGGAGCTAGAAGCGGCCACCCCTGTGGCGCTCAACCCTGTGTATGAGGATGCCGGGGAGGGAGCTTCCAGCAGGGGGGGCAGCTTCTCCTCGCCTTCCGGCAGGCCTGGCAGCGCCGGCGGCGGCGGCGCGGCGGCGGCGGCGGCAGCGGCAGCCTCCCCCTCCCAGGCCTCCGAAGCCCAGCTGCTCACAGATGTGCCGCTTTCTTCGCCCGCGGGCGGCGGCGGCGGCAACGGCGCGGCGACGGCCGGCGCCGCCGGCGCACCGGGCGTGGCGGGCGGGCGGGTGGGCAAGCGGCGGGCGGGGCTGAGCCGCTTTGCGCGCTGCCTGGACTGGCGCAAGGTCGGCGGCCCGCCCCCTGCCCCCTCCTCCGGCACCGCCGCCGCAGGCGCAGACGCTGCGGCTGCGGGCGGCGCAGCAGCCGTCAGTGCCTCCGCCAACCCCTCCCCATCTCAAGCTGACAGCCGGGCCAGCAGCCACGTGTTGCTGTCAGACAGGGTGCGGCGGTCAGACCTGGTGGGCAGCGCGGGCAGCGAGGCAGGGGCGGCGGCGCCGCCGCACTCGCCCACGCACGCCCCGCGCGCCAGCTCTGGCGATGAGGAGGTGACGGTGGGGGTGGAGGCGGTGCCAGAGGGCAGCACCGCCGACAGCGAGCTCCCGGCAGCGCCACCCCGGCCGGCGGTGGAGGTGGCTGCCGTGCCGGCGGTGGCGCCTGGCACCGGCGGCGAGATGGCGGCGGCGGAGACACCCCGCTTTCAGGCCAAGTGGTGGCGCCGCGAGGCGCGGCCGGCGGCGGCGCCTGCGCCGGCTGCGGCCGCCGCCGCCGTGCCGGCCGCCCCAACCGAGGGCGAGGCGGCCGAAGAGGAGAGCGAGGAGCGGCAGGCGATGAGGGCCGCCTTTGAGGCGTGGCGTGCACACTGCGCCGACGCGGCGTGGCGGCGGCACGGCCTGCCCCGCGACGGCGCAGCGCCTCCGCAGTCGGGCTCGCCTCGGTCGGAGGCCAGCGAGGACACGGATGTGCAGGGTGGGTGCGCCTGGCGATGCGGGGCTGGACTGGTCTGGTCTGGCCGGGGAGGGGCTGGAGGTTGCGGCCAGCATGCTGGGCCTGGGCAGCGCACGTGGGGGCGGTGGTGCTGGGTTTGGTGGACGCAGGGAGTGCCGCCTGGCGCCCCTCTGGGGCCCCGGCATGCTGCCCTGGCTTTGCTCGCATCCCCTCCCTGCCCCCCTGCCCCCACAGTGCGCTCGCCGCCCCTGCTGCACCTGGGGCTGCACAACACGCTGAATGACGGCAACGCCGCGGCCAGCGGCAGCTGCCGCGTCACCCTCTACGCCCCCTACTGGCTCAATAACCGCACAGGTGGGCGGCGCGGGGAGGTGGCG